GACCAGCCGACCCAAAGCCAACAGTTTCACTATGGCCACCACAGCTAGTGAGGGCAACGCATCATCGTCCTCGTCGTCTTCTGGCTCCCGCTCTTCCTCGCCTTCGGTAAAACTAACCACCAAGCCCGTGGCCGGTTCAGCTTCAAAATCTTCGCCTGCTTCCTCCAAGCCAACCACAAAGCGGAAGAAGACAGCTGTGCGCGGAAAGGGTGGAGAGTCCAAGCAACCCACAGATAAGAAGGGCACGCCAACAAAGACAAGGCGTCGTCGTAGTAAGGCAGGCGCACCCTCCAGCGAGGACAACTCTATCTCTCCGCAGCGGTCGTCATCTACACATGTGCCATCATCAGTTGGAGTGATGCCGGCCAGCGCGACCACACATGCACCAGTAGCAGCATGTGCGGCTTCACCAGGCTCGTCTGGGTCTCCCCGCGCCTCTGGTACGAATGGCGATGGTACTCGCGTCACAGCCACCACGAGTACATCAAACGGCACGGCCAGAGCGAGCGACGACGATGGCCAAGACCTGCCACTGCAGTTTGTGGCGCTGCGCTGTGTCAAGGAGCAGCTCCCACCAATCTTGCAGCCACACTTTCTGGAGAACATTGACATGCGCAACCCAAGCAGCACCATTGAGGAGATGCAGATGATGTACTGCTTCGTGACGTTCATGGCCATCAGCTCTATGACTGTGTTCGAGCAGAGTACCACGAAGCAGCAAGACTTGAAGGATGCTCTCAAAGCGTTTCAGGTGCGGAAAGATACGCTTCGGTTGGATCGCTCCGCTCTCGAAGCCCTGCTTCGCTTCCATGCCGAGATGATTGACCTGCGTATCGTTGCCGACGCGAGCGAGCTTGACGAGGCAACCATCATCAACGTCGGCAGCGACTCGGCCATCTTTGTCATGAACCCGTGCGGCGTGCTGTTCCGCGCCAGCGACATTGCCATGGACGAGGAAGCCACGGACCTCAATGACGACACGGCGGTGGGCGCGCTGTCACCGCCGCACATTGGCGACGACCCCGACCTCGACACGGCCGTCGGAGCCATGCACGCCAGTACCCCTGAGCAGCACGGCTTTGCCGGCGAATTTACGGAGCCGATTCGTGACCTGCAGAGCATTCCCACATCCCCGATTGACCAGCAGCAAACGGGCACCGGCGCCCCCAACATCTACCCGCAACAGCAGGCCGTGGGTGCCAGCGTGTTTGAGCGCATCCGCACCGTGCTACTGTCCTTGGAGCTGGACATTGAGAGAGACAGCGTTGACAAGGCTGCACGGTTGCCGTTTGATGAGCTTGGCGGCATCCTCATGTTGGTGCCCAACTTCAACTCCCTGTACGCACAGACGCGCTCGCGTGCACAGCAGTTCTTGCAGCAGCAAGGCGTTCCCGAAGACAAGGTGCTGGTGGTGAAGTGCAACGCAGCGTGTGCTGATGAAGTGAAGACTTTCTGGCGGGGGGTGGAGACGAACAGGGACAAGCTGTTTGTGGTGCTGCATGATGAAGCGCACTGGGCCATCGACAGGTCACCAAATGATGACAGCTCAAGTGGTGTGGCTGACCTGTTCCTCAACCAGCCCAGAAACAAAGGGGTCAAGAACGCACGCAACCTTGTGCGCTTGCTGGTCACAGCCACACCCTATGCTCTGCAGACCGGGAAATCGGCAATCCCTTTGGTCAATGAGATCCACTGGGATGCCGTCACAGGCGGCAGCGAAGAATCGTCTGGTGAGAGAGTGTGTGAGAGAGGGTGTGTGTGCGTGTTTATGTGTGCGTGTACACGTGTAAGTGTAGTTGCCGCACCTTGTCAAGCAGTTCTCACGTAATGATCGTCCACACACACTCACATGCAAACATGTACGCACACACACACACACACACACACACACACACACACACACACACACACACACACACACACACACCAGAGAACCACGGGCCGCGGTACTTTGGGATGTCCGACCTGCAGGGGCAACATAAGGACCCCAAGCGACAGCGTCTTGTCATGGACAGTTCATTTCATGCTCTGGTGTCGGAGTGCGTTGGGCGTCGTAAGCCAGGCACACGCGAACAACTCATGGCTAAGTTTTTCCAGTGTTACGAAGCGGCCTTCTTGCTCGCTTTACATGATATCATGGGGACAAAACTGCTAGACCGAGAGGAACTGGAGAGCCACACGACACCCTTGACGCTGCGCATGATCACCCGCTTCCTCAAGGCGACGACCAGCACCAACGGTCACGGACACATGCTCCTCATCCGTGTTGTGAGCAACCCCATGGGCCGCGCGTTGACGTTGAGGCTGAGAGAGCTTCGCGCCAAGCTTGGCCTCGACAAGCGGTTTGCGGTATTGCAGGACACCAGCGCCGACCCGCTGCGACGCGTGCTTGAACTTGATGAGCGCAGCTCCGAGTGCCTCTCGCGACTGCAGCAGATGACGGGCGCGAGTGGCATTGCCAGCTATGAGCAGCTGGAGCACCTTCCCTGCATCCTCGTGCTCTGTGACAAGGGCCGCATGGGCGACACCTTCCCCAAGTCGCTGCAATACTACGACCTCCGCCTGCGCTACGGTAGCTCCTCCTCCTGCACGCGCACCTACATGGAACAGGACCTCGGACGCATGTTCCGGTACGCGCGGAGTCTGGACGAGCTGCCCATGTGCCTGTTGCCGCCAACGGCACACGAGTGCCTCCAGCGAAGCCTCATACACCTCTCCCCCGACCGTAAGGTGTGTGCGTTTATTGGCGTATGTATTTTTGTGTATGTGTGTATATGTGTGTGTTATATGTGTTCATCATCATGTATGTGCGTGTGTTGATGTGTGATGGATCATCCCCACATTCCAACTACTTGCATCCCGCCCTAAGCTTGTATGTACAAACACACACTCCCGTGTCAGCCCCAATTACTTCTTCACGCTCACCGTCTGTCTCCTCTCACTCTAGGCGAACATTTCAAAGCCACCCAAAGGTGAACAGATACCTCGACCAAAACCGAGTGAAAACTGGTCATCACGGAACGATTCCCTCTTCTACCGCACGTATGCGCGCCCAACAAGCAAGAACTACGATGAGGGCAACCGCCGGGGTACAGACCCACGTCGCTTCCTCCTGCAGGGCAAGCCGCAGGTGGGGAAGACGGGCGCATACCTGTGGGCGCTCAAGCTGCTCGCTGAGCACCTCAACATGCCACCAGGGCCCACAGAGACGGAGGAGGTGGTGGTGTGCTGTGACGATGACGACTTTGACGACGAAGGCAACGAGCGGGAACTTGACATGGACGAGGATGAGCAGCAGCAGCAAAACCACCGCGGCGTGCTGCCTGTACACACAGTGGTGCAATCCCTACCCTTTGTGGCGCCACAGCCCGGCAAGTATGGCGCCATCATCATGGACCAGCGTGTGCACGCAGCGCGGCTGGCAGCAGCAGAGGCAGCGGCACACGGCGACAATGGCGACGTTGTTGTGGATGGTGCACCCGGGAACCGGTCACGACTCGTGGTGCGCAAGACTGTGAGCAGCGAGTATGCGCTCATGGCGCGACCACAGCCGCCGTCAGCTCAGGCGGCAGCAGGTGGCAACGCTGTCGTGGCCGAGTTTGCGGCGCCGGTCGTGGCTGAGCTGAGCGTGAACAGCGACGACGAGATGAACCGTGAGAGGACGCTGGGCAGCCGATGGCACATTCCCGCAGCCAAGGCGGTCCTGTTCCAAGGGCTCATCAGCCGTGGCGACGACGGTACTGCTGCTACGTTTGAGCGCATTCGTGTTGAGGACCTTGACATGCCCGTCGTGTTTATGCCGTCGAGTGGGCGTGCCGCCATCGGCCTCCTCGACCTCAGCAGAACACTTCGCAGTCGTCAGAGCAACAGCAGCGGGAACAGCAGCACAAGCAGCAGTGACAACAACGGCAGTGGCGATGGTGGTGTTCACAAAGTGCTGCAGGTGATTGTGGTGAAACAGGACGAGTTTGACGCCTATTGCACGCACTACCCTGACGTGGTGGTGTGTGCGCTGCCCGAAGCTGCAAGCAGCCCTGACAAGGGCATTGGTGCGAGCCGCGACTTCATCAAGCGGTTTGCCACGCTCAACCTCGACCTGACCCGCCACGCAGCGCGTGCTGGCGGTGTGAGGCTGGGGCGGGTTGCGAGCCTCATCCTCATGCTGGACGACTCGTGCTTGGTGTTCAAGCGCGCCGTCGTGAGGCAGGATCCCTGCGACTTTCACACTGCTGATGATGTTGATGTTGTGGACGGCGCCCAGCATGGCGGTGCGAGCGACGATCACCAGCGAGAGTGGAAGTGGGACTGGGCGAACCGTGAGAACCGCAGCGAGTTCACCATGGAGGACGTGCCGCTGCTGCACGTGCTGCAGCACATGCTGAGCGACCCTGACTTGCACAGGTACGCGCTGATGGGCATTTCGCGCTGGCGCCCGTTCTTGCGCAACATGCAGAGCGCGTACAAGCGGGCGCATCCGTTCTCGTTCCTGCTCCTGAACGTCGATGTGACGCGTGACGTGCACTACGAGGCAAACGATCTTCTCTGCGAGGACATCCGCTTCAACGAGCGCTTGAACGCGCGTGATTTGTTGTTTGTCAAGTACTGCCGGTTCGTGTTGCTGAAGAAGCAGTTGGCTGAGGGCGGCTGCAGCGCCCTGTTGGAGAGGGCGCACGTGGATGCACAGAACGAGACACATTCGCGCACGTTCGAAGTTGCTGCTCTGCCAGACACTGGTAATGATTTCAGTGCGAAACTCGCTGTCACCCTCGATAACATCCCGACTGCTGAGCTCATTGCTGCTGCTGAGGGTGACGCGAGTGCACTGTTGGACCGTCTGGCAGACCACCTCGTCACGATCCTGGGACCCGGTCTCGTGTCATTGCTGCAAATGGAGCTTGTTGAGCCCCGCATGCTGTGCATGCCTGCAGGCACATCATCGCGGCCACATCAAGTGCAATGCCGAATCTGCCTCAAGGAACCTGGGCAGCAGCTGGACATGGTGGGATACACCCGCCTTCGAAGCACCCTCGCGTACATTGCGACGGTCGCACAAACACAGGCGTCAGTCCCGCTATCCATCGTGCTGGACTTTGTGCGCAAACATTTGATCCCTGTGCCTGCAAGCACGCGCGTCTTCACAATTGGCGAGCGGCCTGAACGCGACGCGAACGTACCCATCGCAACTGCCCCAACAGCCGTCATCGCATCCTACACCACAAATCCAATTGAAGTGAGGGCTCTGACAAGCAACTCTGAGTGGCAATGCTTGCTCGTCGACATGTACCATGCTACTGGCGAGCATGAGGGCCTGAGATTCCTTCTGTCCGTGGCGCCGGCCAACTCTGAAGCCTATTACTACCTCCACTTGGGCTGGGTGCTTGCGATCAAGCGATAGATGTGCCGCGTGTAGTATCAGTTGTGTGTGTGTGTGTGTGTGTGTGTGTGTGTGTGTGTGTGTGTGTGTGTGTGGCATCGTGTGAAGTGTATGTTGTACGTGCGCGTCGTCTTGATACTTCCGCCATTCTCTCTTAAAGGTTTATTCCTTCTCACACACCCACCAAACTTCACCCCTCCCTCCCTCCGGTATCATTGCTCCTTCCTCTCCATCTCAAGTGTTGTTTGCAGCGCATCAAACAGTGCGTGTGACCGTGCAACACTCACGTGCAGCCACTCCACCACGTCGTTGTCGTTGTTGTTCCTCTTACCACGGGTCTCCTGTTTGTGCCCTTGCCTTTGCCTTTGCCTTTGCCTTGTTCTTTTTGTGGTCACATGCTTAAAGTCGCAGTGCAGTAGCGCCAGCTCCTGGTACCTGTTGCACGCCAATACACGGTTTTGTTGGAGTGGTTTGGAAGGTGTGAGGAGAAGGCAGGGGTGGCGGAGGTGAGGCAGAGGGATGCAGAGGAGAGGCGAGGCAGTGACAAACGAACACACACACACACACACACACACACACACACACACACACACACACACACACACACACACACACACACACACACACACGCATACACACACACGCATACACGCATACACACACACACACACACACACACACACGCATACACACACACACGCATACACGCATACACACACACACACCACTCGGCCTCTGCGCGCTGTTCGACGGCCGTGTACTCCGAGGTCATGAGCGCGACGAGAAGATTGAGGAGGAGGACAACAGCCAGCAGCATAAACCCAACAAAGTACACGTGCTGCAGCCACAGGAGTTCGGGGTAGGTTTCGCGCGCATGCGACGCCGCCGCTGTGGCCACGCTGCCACCATCACTGCTGCTGCCGCCGCTGCTGCTGTTCACTGCGGTGGTTCGGTCCAGATGGTTGGTGTCGATGAAGGGGCCTTCGAGGCCAACGATGACGTTCATCTCGCCAAACAGCATCATGAAGACGGAGAGGAGGGACGCCAGCACGGTCGTGTGTCCTTCTGCACGCGCACGATAGACGCAGAAGAAGGCCAAAGCAAAGCCCGCAATGCCAAGCACAAGCACGAGCAGGAACGAGCGCAAGCGTGCAACCATGCGGGCCACCATCTTCATGAACACGCCCGTGCTGCGGAAACCGCGCAGGAAGTACATGGTGCCAAAGGGGATGCACAGCGCGGCGGCAGAGGCAAGCGCGTACTGCTCCGGCAGTCGCAACGCGTGCAGGGCAAACGTGGCGGCACTGAGCGCATAGGACAGCAGGAGAAGCGTGCGCCAGCCCTCATGGAGCCGCCGCCAGCCGCCGTGAAGCAGTAGCCACGGCCCAGCAAGCAAAGCAAGCAGCACCACCAGCAGGCCAAGCGCAGTCCAGCCAGCCACCACATGCCACGACGGCGTGGTGGTGGTGAGGCGACCCGGAGTTGCCGTCAGCAGCGTTGGACGGTCCGAGGTAAGATCGTCGCGCGCAACGTGGACAAGGGACGCCAGCATGGTAACAGCAAACACGCTGTGCAACGCGAAGAGCGCCAGGAAGGTGCGCCGAACGCGCGTGTGCCAGTGCCAAAGCACCACACACTGGATCGCTGCTGTCGTAAACACGTCCGTCTGTCCATGCTGCGCACAGTAGCTGAGGAGGTCAAGGTGGCGGTGGAGGTTCGGCAGTGCAACAGCGAACGTGCTCACGGGTGCTGCTGATGCGGTCGTGGTCGTGTTCGTGTTTGTGGTCTTCCAAGCACCCTTGTTGCTGGCGAGATTGCCATTGTCTGTGCGGTGCAATGCAGTGCCTTGCGTCGTGCTGCAGTGGGGAAGAACGGTGAATGCGAGGCCACTCTCCACGGTGACAGTGGCGTGGGAGTGCAAGGCTGGGCTGCATGTCACCACAGTGTCCAGGAAAGGCGGCAGCAGCCGAGGAAATGTCTGGGCGAGCGGCAGCAGCGCAGCCGTCCAGCCCAAGCGCGTGCTGTGTTGGTGTTGATGATGACGATGATGATAATTATGTTTGTTGTTGCGCAGTGAGACAAAAGGGAATAAATGGTCATGTCACGGAATGTCACATCACACCATGTAACGTAATGTAACGTGAACTTTCGACGCATGTGTGTGTGTGTGTGCCTTTTGCTCAAATCCACTTCCTCCTCACCCCTCACCCCTCACCCCTCACCCCCTCACCCCCCGCCACCTCCCTCACCTTGACGTGGGTTGGTGCTTGATGTTGGAGAGGATGGCTTGCACGGCGCGCCGCTCGTGGCGATCAATGGACCACAGCAGAGGCGATGATACCATTGATGACGATAGGAAAGTGTGGTGAGGGGTTTGGTGAGCGTGCTCAGCGGTGGGGTGGCGTAGTGAAGCTGGGGCGGAAGGGTGTGGCGGCGTGAGGGCGAGTGGACGCTGGGGCAGTTCAATGAGGCCGCCGACGACGACGTCAACGTTTGCATCGCTGCTGACGTGCGCTAGGGCGTGGTGCAGCAGTGTCTGCTGGCTGCCCTTTGTTCGCGCCATGCACAGCGGGTAGGACGTTGTCATGCACCGCGCAACTACTTCTGCTTGCACGGGTGTCGGCAGCGCGTGCGTTGTCTGTTGACACGTGTCCAATACACGTGACATGCACCATGCAGCGAACCCGCTGTCAATGTCCCACACGCGCACCACGCCATCTCGGCTCACGCTCACCACCTACAGAACTCAAGGGCAAAGGCAAGGATAACGAAAGATTCGGAATCGATGAGACACAGCGTGTGGTACTGAGACACAGGAGAGAGGTGACAGACGGCAACTCACTCGAGGCGCTACCCTTGCGTCTGTCAACAACAATTCCAGGCACACACAGCCAGCACACAAAACACATGTGTGCAAGCCCTCTCTGCTATCACAAGCCATATACCCACCCACACACACATACAAGCCATGTACCCCCTCCCCCAGACCCAGACCCACCCACATCCACACCCACATCCACCCACACACCCCCCCCCCCCCCCACCCACACACACACACACACACACATACACACACACACACACACACACACACACACACACACACACACAACCCACACATACACACAGACAGACAAACACACCTGGGTGTCGTTGTGGGTGAGGGCAAAGGCGGTGGCTGCATCAGTCCGGTCTTGCTGGAAGGTGAGCAGTGGAGCCAGCGTGGACTGGTCCCAGACCACGATGCGATTGTCCTTGCCAGCCGTGACAAGATACTGGTCTGCAACGTTGGCCTGTACAAACAGCACAAAGGACGCGTGTGCGTGCAACGTATGCATTGCTGCTGCCGTAGCCACATGCCACACCATCACCAGCCCATCTGCTCGTCCAAACACACACACACACACACACACGCACGCACGCAACAAGTGCAGAGTGAGTCGCATTCGTCAACAGTCTCACGGACAACTGAAATGTCCTTACCTATCACCACGTGCATCGTTCAAGTGCTCCAAAACAAACAGTTGTACAAAACACATGTACACCGCTCACCTTCACCGCCCGTGACAAGGTGATCTGCATCTTTCCAGCTCAAGCACTTGACGGCGCGCGTGTGTCCAACCAGGATTTGTTGCGGCGACACAATCTCCAGCTCATCATGTCCAGCACCTTCACAACGCAAGCGCAGCGCCGTCCTGCGTGAGATTGTGAAGTGCATGCGGTCATGCAGACGCGCATACGAATTCCTGCTCGTTGACATCAACACAACTACGAACCTCCCCACACTCGCGCACGCACGCACGCACTTCACAACACCCTCACTCACAATACAGCTTGCCCCCTCCCCCAACACTCACACACACACACACACACACACACACACACACACACACACACACACACACACACACACCAACACACTCACTCACACACACACACCAACACACTCACTCACACACAAACACACACACACACACATACACACCTGCTGTGCTCCAGTCCCAGATGTGCACGACAAAATCGCCGCCTCCTGTGGCGATGGTGCGACCTGTTGGGGAGAATGCGCCACACACCACCCGTCCCGCGTGCCCACGGTACCATCGCACGAGCCCAGGCTCGCCTCCTCCAACGCCCTCACCACCACCACCACCACCACCACCGCCACTGCTGCTGCTGCTGTTTGTTGTCGTCAGCGTGAGGACGGCAGCCCCCGTGTTGGTGCAGACAAGAAGGCCTTTAGAATCGGCACTGACGTGAATGCTGCGCACGAGGCCCGGCAGCTCCACAATCACGGGCAGTGAAGGTGGGCTGGTATGTGCAGCCGTTGTGCAGTCAGGTTCAGCACCGATTTGCGACAGAACAACCATGTGCTCAATACCAACCGCCACACAGCGCCCATTTGGTGTACACGCGCACACGCGTGGGACACCAGCGCACGGTTGCTCCATTCGTTGCAGCACGTGCCCACTCGTGGCGGAGATGATGAGCACCTCATTGTGGGTGGTCGCAACAACAACGTCGCCACCAAACCCTTGCAGTGCACAGCAAGACGTAAAGGGCGCGGCCCTGTGAGGCACAGCAGTCTCATCCAGCAGTGACGGAGAGGTTGCACACTCGTCAAAGGTAAAATAGCGAGCTCTGCCCTCTTCTTGCTCGTGTTCAAGCGTATGGTCGTGGTCTCCTTGTCGAATGTAACAGCCATCGGCACCAAAATCGCCGTCGCCATGACTGGCGTCAGCACCGGTGATATGCGTGGTGTTCTCGTCATCGTTGTTGGCGGCACACGAGGCGGCACTGCTTCCGCCACCAAACGCTGCGAATGCGACGGTTTTGCCTGCAGGCACAGTTGCTGCTGGCGTGAATGACCTGCGCAGACCGCAGGACGAGAGATCCCACCCAACACAGCAGCCAGCCCGATCCGTGGAGAAGAGCAGGTCAGTGCCGTCGTGTGAAAAGCGCAACGATGTGACCCAGTCTTGGTGTGCGTGGAGCGTGAACAGCAATGCACCGCTCTGTACATCCCACATAAGAACAATGCCCGCCTCCCCACCAGCCACCACCCGATTATGGCGCGGCGACCAGGCGACTGCTCGCAGCGAGTGGTGGTGACCATGGAATCTGCGCTCAACCACACCATTGACAGCAGCAGCAACAGGTGATTGCATAACACCTGTCACGCCAGACATGTTGTTGGCTATCTCCGCTCCCCCGTTTCCATTTACACCACCACCACTACCACCACCACCACCACCACCGGAAATGTTGTCCAGGATGGCGATGAAGCCGTCAGCACCGACGATACACGCGCGGGAGCCCGTGCCATCGAACGCAGCTGCTGTGAGCCGCCCTGGGGCAAATGATGTCCACACAAGCCGGTGTGTGTTCGCTCCTGTGTTCACCCACCACAGCTTGGCTTGGCCCGCGTTGCACACGGAGAGATACGCGCGGTCCCATTCCCACAATCCGAGCGTGCGCGCCTGTGACCGCGGCAGCACGCACCCGGCGATGCAGCGAACCACGTCAAGATGGCGCCCAAGAACCAGGTCCGAAGAAGCGTGTGTCTCGGGGTTAGGGACCAGGTCTCCATCGCGGAGCTGGACGCACACGTGAATACTGTGGTCTGCTGCCGCTGCAAACACAATCGCGCTGTTGTTGTTGTTGTTGTTGTTGTTGTTGTTGTTGTTGTTGTTGTTGTGCCCATACACATCTGAGTGCTGGTTCTGTGTTACGTGGGGTGCTGTGACGTGGCCCAGGAAGCAGCATTCGACGTCTGTGTTGAGGTCGTACACACCCATGTCGCAGCAGCCAGCACCGAGCGAGCCCACAGTGACCTGCCCGTCTTCGAAACAAACGGCCATTATCGCAGGGCGCACTGAGGAAGGGGTTGAAGTCAGGCCACGGCGCTGTGGATATGCGGAAGGATCGCCGACACCACTCGCATCGGTACTGTTGTGGTACATTGTCAGCGTGTCTGGCGGTGCAAGGCAGTGCATGGCGACAATAGGTGCCGGGTGATTGCGCGTGCCGAAGCGGAGGGCCTGGCACGCTGCATGCACAGACACGACGCTGATGGTTCCGTCAGGGTGGGCCACGGCAGCAGCGGTGCTGGTGGTGTTGGTTGACGGTGTACGCGAAGATGGGATGATGCAGCACGACTTGGCGGGGGAGTCCAGGAGCTGCACGTGCTGTCGTGCTGGAGGCAGGTTGCGTGTCCAAGGTGCGTGCAGCGATGCCAGCGCGTGTATGTGCGCTGGCGCTGTTGTTGTAAATGACCAGAGGCACGCCATGTCGTCGCTTGCCGCAGTCGCGAGAATGGGGCGAGAGGGATGCACAGCCAGTGACAGAACGAAACCAGCATGTGCGGTGACGTGATGTTGGCATGTGTAGTCTGCCATGCTCCACACGCAAACACGTGCGTCCTCTCCGGCGCTGAAGAGGCGGTTACCGCTGACATCAAAGGCCACTGCCTTGATGGCGCTTGTGTGGCCTTGAAGGCACACAGTATTGAAGTGCTGCTGCTGCCGCCGTTTTCGAGCTGTTGACGACCCACTGTTGGCGCTGCGCTTTCCTTCTTGTTGCCGCTGCATACCGTTGTTACGCCCATCAAGCGTTGGTACGCACGCTGCTGCTGTTGTTGTTGTTGTTGCTGCTGCTGCTGTTGCTGAGGTGGACAATTTGCGGGGAAGAAGCCACACGCGCACGATGTGGTCGCCGGATCCTGTGGCCACCGTGGTGTGTTGGCGCGGATGCCAGGCCACGGCGGTGACACGTGCATGCATGCAATCGAGGACGGCACAGCGTCGCTGTGGAGACGGTCGCATAGGGTCGGTTTGATAGGGATGTTAGTGGATTCGTGTGTGTGTGTGTGTGTGTGTGTGTGTGTATGAGACAAGAGGGCAAATGCTCGTTTCGCCATAGAGGAGATACATACAGTTTGTCGGGTGCACGATTGTGCGTACGTGGAAACCGACGCTCACACACACACACACATACACACACACACACACACACACACACCATGGTAGATGCTTTGGAGATGGAGATGATGTGTGCTGCGCCGTCGTTTCCGCCCAGGGCGAGATACTTTCGATCCGGGCGCCAGGCGACAGCGCGAAGCGTGGTCACCATGTCCAGCCTGAGCGGGCACGCATGCGTGTGGGAATGTGTATGTGTGTGGGAATGTATGTGCGTGTGTGTGTGTGCGTGCGTGTGTGTGTGTGTGTCAAGGCATGACGAAGGTACATCCACACGGGGAACATGACAACAGTATAACGTAGACATGCAGAAAAAGCGACTCAGTGAGTGAATGAATGACTGGTGTCATACCCATTCGTACCCAGCAACACACACACACACACACACACACGCGCGCGCGCGCGCGCGCACACACACCGCACCGAGAGATGGTGTTGAGGGAGCCCGTGGCAGAGACGGTGAGGAGGTGGCAGGCGTTGTTGCTAATGGCCGCGAGAAGGGAGTGGCTGCGTTTGCCCAGCTTCGCCGTGCTTGCAAGCGCAATGGCAGTGATTGGGGCCGGCATCCTGTGCTTGCAGGCAAGCCGGCGGGTCGGCACATGCCAGGCGCACACAGTTCGGTCCACGGAGGCAGTGATGAGCAGCTCATTGCTTGCTGCAAAGGTGGCTGAGGTCACGGCGTCTTGGTGCCCCAGCAGCTGCCCAACAAACACACCATCGTCACTCCACAGGCGCACCGTTGCATCGGCCGAACACGTGGCAAGCAGCACGGCGTCATCACCGCGCTGTTGCATGAACGTGCATGCAAGCACAGCGTCGTCGTGTGTTCGCCCGGCGTTTCGGCCGCCAAGCCCGTCCACGGCACGACCCCGACTGCTGTCCTGCTCACAGCCCTCGCTCTCACCCTCAAGCACATGAGAACGGTGGTTGCTGGTGTCTGTGCCAGCTGCCAACGACTGCACCTCTACGCCACGCTGCAAATCCCACATGCGCAGTGTACCGTCAGTGCTGCACGTGGCCACCATGTCGTCACCCTGAACATTGTTATTATTGTCCACGAGGGCATCAGCCGGTGGTGCGCGCCAAAGCACAACGCCAGTCACCACATCCGTGTGTCCCGTCAGAACCTTGAGCAAGGCAAGACTTTGCGTGTTCCACACGCGCACGGCTTGGTCTGTGAAGCCGGCAGCAAGCAGGCCGGCGTCGGCGCTCAGCGACATGGCGGTCACAGCCACGCCTGTGTCGCTCCCATGCACTGTTTGCACGTTTTGCTTGCGCTGCCTCTTGGGACCAGAGCCAACGTGCCAGATGTACATGCGGCCATGGCTGTCACCGACTGCAACTGTGCTGTTGGCGTCATAGGCAGCACTGCAACATGTGGCGTCGGCCTTCAGCTTGATGCGCGCCGTCACGTGGCCCGTGTCCAGGTCATGCAGGGTCGCCAGCTTCCCACCCACAGCGGCGTATGCGTACAGCAGCGGGAGCAGCACGCCCGCTGTGAGGATGTCATCGAGGTCAGTCGCCACTTGCTTCGTGTGCCGGGAGGCAGCGTGTTGCTTCGCCAGTGTCAGGTACGCGTGTGCGCGGCGCGGCTGTAAGGGGGCCCCTTGCGCTTTCGTCTGTCCTTCTGCTTGCTGGCCGTACCTGCTGTTGCTGTTGTGCCTGGATGCTGTAGTCGAGGACAGCGGCGACCTACCATCAGGTTGTTGTTGTTGTTGTTGTTGTTGTTGTTGTTGTTGTTGTTGTTGTTGTTGTTGTTGTTGTTGTTGTTGAATTGGTTGCGGCTGCGAGATTGTGGCGGCTGTTGTATTGCTGAACAGCCAATCAGGTTCATCCTGGGACGGCGGGCACTGTTGCGTCTTGGCGAGCTGTGGCACCGAGCTGGCTGGTTGGATGAGGGACAAGGGGCGAGGCGCATTAGTGCTCTGGAAGGAGAGCGGGCGGGAGAACGTGGTGAGGCCAATAAGATTGCCTGCAGGCAAGGTCTTGGCGGCCGGGGAGTGGCTGTGATGAAACGTGCTGGCGTCAGCCCCAGGTTCCAGGCGCAGTGTGGTTGGGCGATGCCGGGTGTGCAGCACAATGACGTCCTGCGTCCTGTCGTCCGTGAGAAGCAGCGAGCTTGTGTCAGTTGTGGACTGGGGTGTGTCTGCTGCTGCAGCGGGCACGGCGATGGAGTCGATGATGCGGCCATCTTGCGTGTTGACCAGCATTACGCATCCATCTCCTGTCAGCACACACAACAGTTCTGACGACTGCACGAAACCGCACTGCGCCGCATCGCGCACCTCCGTTGCAACCTCCTGCAAACGTGCATGTTTGTTTGTGTGTTTGTTTGTGTGTTTGTTTGTTTGTTTGTTTGTTTGTTTGTGTGCATGGTGTGTGTGTTTGCATGTGTGTGCACGCGTGTGTGTGTGTGTTTGCATGTGTGTGTGTGTGTGTGTGTGTTTGCATGTGTGTGCACGCGTGTGTGCAAGTGTGTGTGCAGGGAAGAGTCAAACGAGATGTCATGTCACATCATGTCACGTTGTTGCGCAGCCACCCGAATACAAACACACTCATCACTGCAAGTCAGGCTATCTCAACAAGCCATGTCACAGCCTTTCTAACAACATACGGTGGAAGAGTTCCATAGAGTGCATGTTCCAGCCTGGGAGCGGGCTGCGAGCCATCGGTTTCCAGGGGTGCCCCCTTCTTGCTGGGTGCACCTCAGCTCCACCCAGCTCCTCTCGTTGCTGCTCTGCATTGTCTCTCACCAACCACAAACAAACGGTTTGAATCGTTGGCGGCACGAAAATTATGTGTATCTTTCAACAAATCTGCGGGTGCGGTTATGGACAGGTCGAGGAAAAGAGCAGAGTGGCAAACTGGCGTGGAGGTGGTATTGTGAACAAGGCACCACAGCAGCAGGCGACAGCAGCAGGCGACATCAGCCGACACAAACGGCTCTTAAGATAACTGCGGGCTACACGTCTGTTGACGCTGCATCATGGCCAGTCTGTTCCGATCGTTCACTCCGTTCAGTGACTGCTTCCTGTTCATCCTGCTGCTGCTGTTGTCGATGCTGGCGCGCTTGCATGCGGCGTTGTCGGCGGACCTGAGCGGGCTCCTGCTGCTCCTGGGCAGATGCGAGGGCGTGCTCGTTGAGCTTGCGTGCCAGGTCTACGTCTCGCTTCTCTCGCTGCGCCCGCGCAAGCAAGCTGCGCTGCATCTGCAGGAAGCGGCGTTCCTCCTCGCTCGCGGCTGTGAAGTCCAGAAACTCCTCTGCTTCCTCGTCGTCGTCGTCCATATCCGCATCCCCGCCGTCCACGCTCACGGGCTGCTGCCTCCCTGTTGCGCTGCTTCGTCCACTCTGCGTGCCACTGCCACCTGCACTCCGCCGCCCCCGGCCCTGGCGCACGTGTTGTGCGTGTTGTGCGCGCACGCCGTGCTCCTCGATCTCCTGCAGTCTTCGCGCCAGCTCGGCGTCGCTGTCCAGCTGCTCATCCGGGATGGACGCTGGCTCCGATAGCCGCCGCGCCAGCGCCTCGTCCGCCGCTGTGTGCGCGTGTATGTGATTGTGAGCGAGTGAGTGTGTGTGAACACGTGTGAGAGAGAGTGTGTGTGTGTGCGTGTGTGAATACGTGTGTGTGCATGTGTGTGTGTGCATGTGTGTGTGTGTGTGCATGTGTGTGATTGTGAGTGAGCGAGTGAGAGGAGAGAGAGAGTGTGTGTGTGTCGCTGACAATCACACAAACCACCACCGCTTCCCTTCCCTCGCCCCACGATCTTGACCAACCTACCAACTGTGTCTGGGTCCTGTCGTTTTGCTTCCGCCTCTGCAGCTAGTCTCGCTTCCTCCTCCTGCAGCTGGCGCGCAAAGCTCTCATCTGTACCACGTGCATATTTGTGAGTGAGAGGAGTGCGCGTGTGTGTGGGGGGGGGGATGATTGATGATACTGTCTGCAAGGTCGGACGCATGTCAAGACATAGTACACCAGCAACAGTGCTCAGACTGACCTTGTTGCTCCGTCTGTTCACCGTTTCAGAAGAATGCAAGGAGAAGCAAGCAAGATCGATCAAGAGGTTGTGAGGACACCGCGTGGCAGCGATCACACTTCCCACCACACCGCTCCACACCACACATTACACCGCACCGCTCCACACCACGATGCAAACACAGGTGTACGGGACTATACCTTCTTCACCTCCTCTGCAGACACGGTGATGAACAGGGAGTACCGCAAGGAGCACGTGGGGGTGAGCACGAGTGCAAGCAGCGAAAAGAGGTCATCAGCTTTGTCAGGGAACCCAAAATTAAGCACCGCCACACAGGCCCGGGCACGCTTCAAAATAGGCATGCCCTCAGGTGCACACACGCAAACACACACACACGCACACACATGCACAGAGCGTTGCATACCAAGGTGGGCCTCTTGTAGCTTTGCTGCCAATTCAGCATCGATTCTCTGTTGCCGCTCTCGCTCCAGACGCGCTTCTTCCTGTGGGCAGCGTTTTGGAGCGCACATGATGGCGAACAGCAAGGTGAGTGTATGCCAACCAAGTTGCAACAGAGCACACGCGCAAAGCGGGCACGCAGCATCGCTCTCAGGCACGCACACACACACACACACACACGCACACACACACACACACACACAAGCACACACATACACACACACGCACACACACACACATACATACTTCTTCTTTGGCCAAAAGTTCCTGCAGTGCACGCTCCGCTGCCTCCTCCTGGCAAGCAGAGTGGTGTGAGATACTGTCAGCGAGGGTTGGCGTTTGTGTGGAGTGGGTGCGTGCACGTTGGGGCATTGTGCATACCTCAGCTTGCCGCTGTCTACGAAGCTCTTCCTCTTCTGTCTGCTGTCGCTGAACAGCCATTCGCCTGTCTCGCGCAGACATGCGTGCAGAGTGCTGATTCCACGACCTTTTCTCGTCCCCTGTGCGTGTGTGTGTGTGTGTGTGTGATTGATTGATGTGTGTGTGTGTGTGAAGATGCGTGTGTGTGTGCGTGGTTGATTGATGTGGTTGGAGTGCATGGTGCGTGGAAGAGATCAAGACGAACATATTCGATGACCAACACTCACGCACACACACACACGTGTACACGCTCATGTGCGGGTGCAAAGTTGACGTACAGTAGTGTTCGCCAAGATGGTTTGCAAGAGCCTCATCCTCCCGCTCACGCCATGTCGACGCAGCTGTCAAACATGAGCATGCAGTGTGATGTGTTCATGTGTGCGTGTGTGTATGACAACATAGACAGACGGACAGACAGACAGACAGACAGACAGACAGACGGACAGACAGACAGACACACACACACACACACACACAGACAGACACACACACAAACACAGACACACACACACACACACACACACACACACACACACACACACACACACACACACACACACACACACACCTCGCTTGAACGACTCCGACCGCTCCGCCATATCCGAGGTCAAAGTTTACTTTGCGAAATTTTCAGCAAAAGCAAAATTGACTACAGCGCCCTGACAAACGATACCCCCATGTAGGACCTTCAAGCACGGTGGAATGTGCACTGCATTTCAAACCATCGCCACCACTGTGGTTGGGAGCGTGTGCTGACCAACACCCCCTGCAACAAACGTTTACAGCATGCCACTTCTCGCACGCTGTCACTCGCCCGCTCGCTCTGATACTTTGCTCGCTTGTGCGCGAGAGAGGGAGGGTGTCTTGCCAACCAGCCAGCCAACCAGGCACAACCACAACCACGCACGTAGCAATTCAGACTGTCAAGCACGCAAGCAGCAAAACACTCTCTCCAACCAGCCCCAAGCAATCAGTTTGGTGCGTTTGCCCGCACGTTGGCCCTTCTTTCGCTGGCGCTGGACCCCCGATCGCGTGTGCTTCGTCATTGCTCGTTCGCTGCATTGCCTTTCTGCTTGCCTCCCTGCTTTCCTTTCGACCCGCCTGCTTCTTGTGTGACCTTGTGACGTTGTGGCGGCGGCCTGTGCCTGTGCTGGTAGTAACCATTTCATCGTGGACACCTCTGTGCACAGGGTGTCCATGATCAACTTTCAACACATCTTCTCACCAGTGCAGCAGAGGCAGCATTGCCGTTCACACGCGAGACGACAGCAAGGTGTGTGTGTGTGTTTGCGCGTTTGCGCGTTTGAGAGGCGTGAGGCAGGTTGACGCTCTCTTGTCTCTTGTTTGTCATTTTTCTCAGCCTTCATGAAAGCTGTCACATGCCTTCCAGTGCCCTCGTCTTTCTCTTCGTTTGTTGATCAATCAAACACACACACACACACACACATCATCATCATCATCATCATCACACTCACACACACACACACACACACGCTCACTCACTCACATCATCACACGCACACACACACACACACACACACACACACGCGCGCGCGCGCGCTCACTCACTCACTCACTCACATCATCACCCACTTCCGCCCCAACATCCCCCCCCCCGCTGCACTCCTTACATCATCATCAACGTCATCAATGTTGTCGTCATCATCGCCATCAAAAATGGGCGCCAATTCTCTCAGCATGAGCTTGTCGCCTTGTCGGAACACCAACCCGAGCACGGGTTCCACCACAAAAAGCAGCTCCCTCTTCTCGCATGCATCAAACACAGGCACAGTCACCCACGACAACAGCAAGAACGACGACACGACAAACAGCAACAAGACTGGCAGCAATCGCGAGGAGCCCACCAAGAGCATAGCCACGACCACGGCCACCGAGACCGGCAACAACAACAACAAGAACAATAACACTGACAACAACGACGACAACACCCCCGACAACACCAGCGACGACAGCGACGACAACAGCACCAGCGGACACAAAGAGACCGCCAACACGCTTGCCACACCGCCAGAAGACGACGACACTGACATGTCAGCGAACCCGCCCACGTCGCCAAGGCCGCCCTCTGCAGACCAAGGGCAACCGCAAGAACAAGAGCAAGAGGAGCAGCATCTGGCGGGCGGATCAACGTCCTCAAAGCGCAAGCAACGCAAGAGGCACGTCCGCATTGCCCATGCCCACGACAGCCCTGCCTCGGCGGGCGCACCAGATGCGATGCGCATTTCCCGGTGAGTCCTTCCTCGTGGTGTGTTCGCGAAATCCAAGTCATGTGCGAACGCAAATTTGCCTTGTGCCCATGCATTAGCGATGCACAGTCTCGCATCCTGACCGGGTTTTAGCACCATGGTGCTTCCGGTAAAGTTCCAAGCGGTGCCGCTTTAGCTCAACCTGTGTCAGACATGCTTGCTCGCTTGGCTGTTTCCTGAACGACACACAATTCACGACACTCCGGCAACCCCGCATCGCCTTTTGCGAAGCGGCACATGCCCGTGCACGCTGCCTCTCGTGATCGTTGTGCATGCATCCCACCTCAGCAGTCCCCACCACACACGTGTGAGCACCACCCACTCTCACACACAAGATCAGCAGCGTACACACTCGGACACACACACACACACACGTGCATAATATCACCAACTCACATCCAATCACCTCTCTATCTTGCATTCGGTTACGCTCTGTACTCGCCGTGGTACCGCCTTCATCCCATCTCTCTCTCTCTCTCTCTCTCTCTGCGCTTTCCTCGTCCTGGACATGTGCTCGGCGATTACGCGCCGCTTGGCTTCCGCCGACACAACCTCCTTGATATCCATCGACTCCCATGGCACCATCCGCCCCAACTCGCCGCACCAACACCAACACCAACACCAACACCAACACCCTCACTCCAATCACCGCCATCACCACCTTCACCGGCCCGTGACCCGCTCCCCCGCGTCTGCTCGCCGCGCGCATCTCCAAAGGCGATCGCTCAGGCGAAGCGTCAAGAGCATCAAGCAAGTCGGCCCTTATGCTGTGGGCGACAAGATTGGCGAGGGCAGCTACGGCGCCGTCCACGTGGCAACGCACTTGCCGACGGGACAAGAGGTGTGTTCGGCGGAAGTGGGTGTGATGAAGGGTGTGCGTGTTGGGTTTGGTGAGATGGAGCGTGGGTAGAAGAGTGATCAAGAGGGATGGTATACGCATGTGCTGTGTGCAGTTGTGCTGTGTACACATGTGCTGTGTACATGTGCTGTGTGCAGTTGTTGTAAACGCACTTACGAGCGATCCCTCACACGCGTGCATGCACGATTTGGTCCATCAGGTTGCACTCAAGTTCATTGACCGGCGGAAGATCAAGGAGAAGTACATCCACGAGAACCTGGAGCGGGAAGTGAGCATCATGCAGCAGCTCGAACACCCCTTTGTCATCAAGGTGCGGCGACTGCGTGCTGTTTGATGTGAAGTGGTGGCGTGCTTTCAACGCGTGAGGGACCGGTGTCGTACACGTGAGCATCGTTGCTGTCATGCAATTGCACAGGTGTCCTTTGTCTGCAACACCTTCAGTTGCGCTCACCTACAATCACACACATGCACCACACGGCTATGCACACTCTCAACCACACACACACACACACACACACACACACACACACACACACACACACACACACACACAAACACACACACACACATGCGCTCGCAATCACACACACACACAAACACACATACACAAACACACACACACACACATGCGCTCACAATCACACCACCCACCCCCTTTCACCCAGCTGCTGCAAGTGGTTGAGTTTGACGACTACATGTGCATCGTGACGGAGAAGGCGGAGGAGGATTTTCTGACGATCCTCGTTGATTCGGGCGTCATCGCAGAGGCCAGGGCCAAGAAGTACGCCGCACAGCTCATGCTCGCCGTGCAACACCTGCACCAGAAAGGCATTGCACACAGGTGAGTTTGCGGTCGGCTTGCTTTTTGCGCAATTGCGTTGGGTCTCAAGCCAGTGTGTGTGTGTGTGTGCGTGTGTGTGTGTGCGCGCATGTGTGCGTGTATGTGTGTGTGTGTGTACGTGTGTGTACGTGTGTGTACGTGTGTGTGTGTGTGCGTTGTGGTGGGTGAGAATGAGAGTGTGTAATCTGAAAATGTGAACATGGGAGTGCTGCGTCATTCTTTCTTCATGACACCACGAACTCATTCGGGCTGTCATGGTGTTGAACGCAACAGGGATCTCAAGGTTGAGAACATGATGCTGGACAAGGCAGACCACGTTAAACTCATCGGTGAGGCAGTGGACGTGGTGGTGATGGAAGGTGGTGATGTTGGAAGGTGGTGGTGATGATGTTGAAGGGCGGTCTTGTACGGTGGTGTGCGAGATGTACTTGTGCTTGTGTCCCGTGTATCGCCTTCCTTCACACACACACACACACACACACACACACACACACACACACACACACACACACACACACACACACACACACACACACACACACACACACACACACACACACACACACACACACTCACACACACACACACACACTCTCACTCACTCACACACACACACACACTCACTCACTCACACTCACACTCACACTCACACTCACACTCACCGTCTTTCTTCATTCACACATTTTATCGCACATGCCAGACTTTGGGCTGAGCAATCAGCTGACGCCGGCAAAGCAGCTGTTCACGACGTGTTGCGGATCACTTGCATACAGCGCGCCAGAACTGCTTGGGCAGAAGCCATACTCTTTCTCCGTCGACGTCTGGGGCATGTGCGTTGCCACATGCTTGCTTTGCTTTGCTGTGCTTTCGGTTGGGTTGGTTTTGTTTGATTGATTGTTTGTGTGTTTGTGTGTATGTGTATGTGTGTGTGTATGTGTGTGTGCATCTGTGTGTGTGTGCTTTGTTAAATTTGAGAGCTGACTGTGTGAGTTTTTGCGTGTTCGCGTGTCCGCGTGCGTACTGTTCACTGACCACCCGTTCAGAATGCATCGTGTTTGCTTCTGCCCCGCTTACTCATCCCATCCTCGCCACCTGCTTACTCGATCGGCCACGATGTCACTTTCACAGCGGCATCTGCCTGTATGTGATGCTGACGGCTCGTCTTCCCTTCCATGCAGAGAGTTTGACACAGGTACTGTTGAGTTGCTGCGTGTTGTTATTGTCACTGGAATGGCATTGCTTTGCGATGTTCAGGTTGAATAGCGAACAACGCTTGCAGCAACCACGGCATGATACACGCGTACGCGCGCACTTAGTCATACTCACACATACACATACACTTATTCATACATTTAATCATACTCACACACACACTTATTCATACTCACACTCAATCATGCTCACACACTTACATGTACTCACACGTGCCAACACATCCCTTGCGACTTCTGCAGCTGCACGCGAACATTTTGGAGAAAAACTACACGCTTCCATCGTCATTCTCAGACGACTTGAAGGACTTGATCACGCGGTGCTTCGAATTCAGACCGAACAAGGTCGGTTTGAAGGACAGAGCGAAGTATTGCTGTTGTCAATGTGTTGCTGATCAGTTTAGTTGCCTTGATGAGGGAGATTGTGCTTGCAATCGATGCACTGTGTTTGTAACCACGTCCATCCGCCTTCACGCGTCCATTCATACACTCACACTCACTCATACACTCTCACACACGCACACGCACTTACTCACCCACACACTCTCACACACACACACACTCACACACACACACACACTCAAACACACACACACTCAAACACTCACACACTCAAACACTCACACACTCAAACACACGCACACCTCCCCTCCACAGCGCATCACCCTTGACGAGATGCTGGCGCATCCCTGGGCGGCGGAGGCCGTGGCGGAAGCGCGAACGCGAGCAGACCGCCTCATAGAGATTGACGTGTGTCCCGGGTGGTGATGGGCTCATGATGTGTGAGAAGGGGGTACATGCGTGGGGTGCGTGCGTGCGTGGGGTGCGTGCGTGCGTGCGTATCTATTTACTCCCACTACCGTCGCTGATTCGCGTGGCCTGTCCACCCGCAAGTGCCTGTTGCTTACCACCTCCCCGCCCCTCCTGCTGCACTGTGATTTAGGACGAGATTGTCAAGCGAATGACCAACATGGGCTACGAGGAGCCAGAAGGGCTCAAGGAATCCATTCTCGCCAACAAGTGAGTACCACACGTGCACGCGTGCTAGCAACGCAAAGGAAGGTGGTTAAAACTGTGGCAATTGCTGAAAACATTGTGTTCTGATGGGAGGAGAAGGGTGCAGTTGGAAAAAGCACACCCGTGTGGCTTTATTATGCTGGTGTGATGCGGACGTACGCATGTGCACGTGCATTTGTCCGCATACCTGTTGTTCCACTTACACCATACTCTGTTTTCGGGCACGTGTTCAGGTGGTCGTCGACATATGTCACATATCATCTCTTCAAGCAAGCAAAACAGTTCCACAAAAAGAAGGTGCACACATGGCACACACACGGCATACACATACACATACACATACACATACACATACATACATACATACACACATGGCAAACACACACACCGCTCACTTAATAGCTGCAGCTCTGTTGTGCTCACTGCCTTTCACAACCCATCACTCGACCCACGTACCATTTCCCTGCGACCAGAAGCCACACCTTCGCGCCACCATGTCATTGCAGGAAATACCATCACTACCGTAAGCCAACACGCGCGCGCGTGTGTGTGCACTTGTATCTGCTGGACTGTGTTTTGCGTTCACCCTACACGGTCTCCTTCCATTCCCAACCATTTACGCGCATACAAACGCTCACACACTCCAACGCATGAAACCCACGCACCTTCCACTCCATCCACCCCCCCCCCCCTCTCTCTCTCTTTTCATCGTGACAGCAAACCGGGTGGCCCACATGCGCGACACTCGACCATGTCACCAAAACGCCACACCGCCGCCAACGCGAATGCGAGTGCGAATGCGAATGCGAATGCGAATGGCAGCGGCGGCAGTAAGCAGCACACGCGTTATCGCTCAACACGGCGAGCACAAACACATGCGCGGGGGAGCGGCGAAGCAGACACAACACCGCAATCGCTATCTCCTGCTCGCCACCATCACCAGCAACACCACCAACACCACCACCACCAGCAGCAGCAGCAGCAGCATTTGTTACAGCCGCTGCACCCGCATCCCCCAACGGCGCCCACGGACAATGGCGAGCAGCACGAGCACCAGCAGCAGCAGCACCACCACCGCTTCCGGCACACGTCGCAGGAGGGCGAGCAGGGGTGGAGGGATGGTCGGCGGAGTGACGGTCGCAGTGGCCGCAGTCTGAGCACAAGCACGAGTCCACGGCGATGGCCGTCTGTACACAGCCGCTCCAGAGGCAGGATGGCGAGCGAGGGGCGTGTCAGCCAACAGCAGCAGCAGCAGCGTCCATCGCAGCAATCACAGCAGTCCCAACTGTCACGGCAATCACAGCAGTCCCAACTGTCACGGCAATGGCGCGACGGCGAAGGTGATGGCGGCAGTCGCAGTGATGTGTTTTCAACAGATGCGGGTGAGAGGGTGAAAGCGAGGCCACAGCACGGACGCCGACGCAGAATGGACGGAGACAGCAGCAGTAGCGCACAGGGCAGCAACGCGTTTGACTTCAACTCTGGGCAGTGGGAGGACTCTGTCTCTGGCGGTGTGCACAACATCACGATTGATGACGACGATGACGATGATGAGCGGAGGAGTCAGATGACAGGCAACAGTTCACGGCGTGACAGCTACCAGGACTTGTTGCATGTGTTGCATCATGACATGAGCAGCATGGACGAGCACAAGAAGCGCCGGTCGTCCCTCAATGTGCCGTCGGTGTCAAGTCTTTCCTCCACTGCCAGCATCGCCAACGACGGGTGGGTTATCGTCGTGATGATGATGATGATGATGATGATGATGATGTGGTGGTGGCATGTCTGAATAACCTTGTGTTGTGATGTTTGACTCAATTCTGTTCCACAATTCCGAACCACTCGTATGTAACATGAATGCTAATGAATGCCAATCCTTGTTTTCGCGTCGCCCCATCACCAGCCGGCCCATCTCCCGTGATCGCAAGAGGTGAGAGGCGTTGTGTGTGCATGCATGTGCGTGCATGCGTGTGTGTGTGTGCGCGCGTGTGAGTGTCAGTTGGTGCTTCCTGCGTGTCCACTTAATTCGCGTTGCATGTCTCCATGTTGCTCATGGCGTGCACAATCGCTCTCCTGGCTTGTCCTCCGTCGGTTTGTCGACGCATTCCTTAGGTCCAACAGCATGATATTGCTCAACAAGACGCCATCGTCACACGACACAATCCCCGCCCCTCCCTGTACGTTGTGCACACGCGTGCATTGCACATCTATCTTAGCCTGCATGTGCTGAAGCCATGCCGCTATTGTTCTATGTGCGCTGTGCCGATAACGGCCTCCTCAACATGCCCGTGACTTTCGCCTCCTGCTGTTCACCGCTCATGTACACACACACACACACACACACACACACACACACACACACACACACACACACAATCGAACGAATGCACCACGAAACAACAGCGCCTGACTTGAGTCCCGGGCGTTCGTTTGAGCGCGCCCGCCCAACTGCCGCTGTTGGCTCACGCCAGGGCCGACACGGCAGCCAGCGACGACGATCACCACACCAGCCAGGCACTGGCGGCACTGGTGGTGGACAGCAGATGGGAAGAGGGAGGGATGAGCTGTCATCCCCCTCTGGCAGGCGCGCACCGTACGTTGTGTGTATGTGTGTGCTGGTTTGCTTGCTGTGCGAGTGGGGGAGGGGTTGATCCAAATGTAATCCACATGCACGTGTATGCTCTGTCGTCCGTGCTGTTGAAGCGCAAATGCTCACTGGTCGACGCCAAACACGCCTGACTTCAACTCCCCCCCCCCCCCAAAAAAAAAATCCAATCCGTCCCCTTCTCACCGCTCGTGTCTCCACCACATCGTAGGTCGCCCCCTGCCCGGCCGTCACCCTTCCACCGGTCCGTGAGCATGCTCGGTCCCTCCACTGCTCTCTCGCAGGCAGCATCCTCCACGCGCGCCCGCAACCGCGACACGGGCATGAGGAGAAACAAGTCGTCAACAAGTGCGTGTCGGTTTGAGAAGTTTTGGGTTGATGGTGCATGTCAGCGATCGTGTGGTTACAGCGTGTCCTGTCGATGAGGTTGTGTACCGTTGGTGCGCTGATATGCTCGTGCTGGTGTTTTGTAGAAGCTGTGTCGTATGCAGTGTGGTTTGCGCTATGCACGCCCGTCGCAAAGCATCAGCAGGCTTGCACTGCCTCACACCTCATTATCCTTGCTCTTGCCCGCTTCTGTCACAGATGTACAAGACGAGTACACGGCGTCACTTCGTGGCCTGCTCTCCCTCCTCAATAAGGGTGCGTGTGTGCAAGTGTGCGTGTGTGCAAGTGTGCGTGTGTGCAAGTGTTTGTTATGCGTGTTTACTTTTGGCAGTCATGTCACGTCAGCCTACTGAACACAAGTTGCTAATGTATTGCTGCTATCATGACCTCATCTCTGCTGCTGCTGCTGCTGCTGCTGCTGCTGCTGCTGCTGCTGCTGCTGCTGCTGCTGCTGCTGCTGCTGTTGCTGTCCCTCCAGCCGCGGCGGCCGGGTCTGAGGAGAAGAAGCAGGCGTGCATTGAGCGCGTGAATCAGGGCATGTACAAGTGCTTACGGGCAGCGCCTGACGCCTCGTTCGCCAAGGACGCGCTTGATATCGGATGGACGCTCACGGGTCTCAAGCCAACGGTAGGCAAGGCGCTTTCTTGTGTGTGTGTGTGTGTGTGTGTGTGTGTGTGTGTGTGTGTGTGTGTGTGTGTGTGTGTGTGTGTGTGTGTGTGTGTGTGTGTGGTTACGTGTACTTGTGCGTGAAAAGTTGCGCGCGTGTGTGTGTGTGTGTGTAGACTTACGCTTGTCTGTGTTCGTATCTTGTGCTCGTGTTCGTACGGTGTTTGTGTGCTTGTGCTCTTGTGTGCATTCACACGTGAAGGCGACCTCGCTGTCGTGCGCGTCTACTCACATCCACCTCACCCCTTACCCGTTGCCGATTGCGCAATAGACGGACTTGGATCCTCTCATTGATCTCGTGGAAGACACAATTCGAGGTTTGTGTCGTGGCCATGATGGCGGTGACGACTGCTTGCCTCGCTGCCTTTGTATCGTTCTTTCTTGCTTTATCGCTTGTGTTTCTCGCCCTGGTGTGCTCTGCCCCTCTGTTTTGTGCGCCGTTTCCTCGCGATATTGGCATTGCTTTTCCAGTTCATGCCCCCCCCTTCCTCAATCCACTCGTCTCTTCTCACTGTGCTTTGAAACCGAAAACACCATACCGAACCGATGCGTGTATGTCACCTTGCTCGCGGTGCAGGCCCAAGACGCGGTGACGGCGATGGCGCTGGCATGTCACCGATTTCCCCAAATCCACCACGACGGCCTAAACCGACACGCGCCACGTCCACCAGCACCGGCTTTGGGTCGTCCCAGTTGCACCCACACCAGCTGCACCCACACCACCATCTCCACCACAACCACCACCACCACCATCATCACCACCATCAGAACACGCCCCACATGAGCCGGTCGAAATCAGGCACAGACGTTATGCAGACGTCACTCCGCGCCCCATTCCGCCCCCTCCTCGTGCGTGCCGACACGTGCTTTGTGTGCTTTGTATGCTTTGTATGTGTGTGTGTGTCTGCGTGCGTGCTTGTGTGTGTGTGTGTGTGCGTGCTTGTGTGTGTGTGTGTGTGTGTGTGTGTGTGTGTGTGTGTGTGTGTGTGTGTGTGTGTGTGTGTGTGTGTGTGCGTGCTTGTGTGTGTGTGTGCTAATGTGCGCGCGTGCGCGCGTGCGTGCTAATATGTGTGCGTGCTTGTGCATGGGTATGTGCACGCGTGCGTGCTTGTGCCTACCACCGAGGCTCACCGCTGCTGTGTGTGCTCACCCATTCAACCTCGTGCAATTCCGCAGTCGCCTACACCGGAGAGGACGCTTCCAGACATCAACAGTGAGTGAATTACAATGGCCTTGTCAACCTTTTTCCCATATGCACTACGTGCGGACACAAATACACAAAACAAATTGGCGAGTGCAGTCACCCATAGAGCCATCGCACATTCCAGTTTGCACCGCATCCTTACCATATGCTCGCATCACCACCCCCACCAGGCAAATCACCGTCACCGCTGCCTCCGGGCCGCGGGAATGCTGGTGGTGCCGGCAACACCCGCGCCACCAACGCCAACAGCCCCGTGTCGTTCTTGGACGACTTGCAGTCATCCGGTGACCCCTCACCGCGTCGCACGCTGCCGAACGCGCCAAAGCCAAACGTGCACCTGAGCACACAGCACCAGCGGCACATGCGCCCCTCGTCCACCTCACATCTCCGCCCACTCTCACCAGGGCGGCAGGGCACCCCTACGCCACCGCCACCAACAACGCTGCACCCCATCTCGCAGCCAACGTCGCGCGCGGTGTCGCCAGGCCGCGCACTCCGCAGCGGCAGAAGTCCGGGCCAATGAGCAGCATGCTGCCGTTGTTGCCACAGTGCACTGCTTCCGTTACCATCGTGACGCGGACGCTTAGCTTCTTCTTGACTCTTGTTATGACACCTGTGACAGCAATCATGCTCGGTTACAGGAACACACACGCAATCCCCGCTTTCACGGTGTTTGCTTTTGCTTCTTTCTTGTTCTTTCCTGCTGCGCGCACGCACGCGCGAATGCAACCACAGCTTCATTGCTTCTACGTGCCACTCTACGCTTCTCGCTACTCGTTGACCTGCATGCCCTTGAATCTTTCTTTATGTAATGGATGCGTGATTCAATTTGCTAACACACGTTGCGTTGCCTTGTTGCTTTCTGCCCTGCCTTTTGGATCTCTTTCATTGATTGACTGCTTGCTTGATTGATTATGTTATGGACCGCCTTTTGTTGCTCTTTTTTTTTTTTTTTATCTGTATGCTGCGCTCAAAGGAGAGCCAGCACGCCACTTACACTAAACCACCACCACAACAACATCGACAACACCGACAACGACAACAACACCAACATACATCCATTCATTGCATCACTTTCACTCGTGTTTTTGTCATGGCCCTGATTTGCTTCCTTTCGTTGTCGCTTGGCTTGCTGGCATGCACGCACTGCTGTGTATTGCTTGTCGTCTGGGAGCCAAAGTCACAATGTGTAATATTATGTTACATCATCATCATCAACAGCAGCAGCAGCAGCATCATCAGCAGCAGCAGCAGCGATACGTGGCGATGGATGACACACATAATTGCTTGTGTGCGTACGCACAAGCAGACTGGCAGAGCGGTGCAAACCTACAACAAAACAACAAGGGAAGAATTGAGGAGGAAGAATTGAGGTTGACTACACTTTACCTCAACCTCAACCCCCCTCCCCCGCCTCCACAAACCAAACAACCGCTACCCTTGTTACTTGTTACTTCGGCTACTTGTTTCTCATTACTTGCTACTTGTTACTTGTCGATGATGGCTGAGGCCACGGGCTTGAAGCCGTGGTCGGACAGGAGTTGGTTGAACGCGCCAACGGCTGCGTGATAGAGCCGCTCGTCCTCCTGGTCGTGGTGCTCGTTCAACACGCGCCATTCCGATGCCGGCAGCACCTGCTTCTCCGCAGGCGCATCAAATGCCACTTGCGTGTACGGCGGTGCAGGGTGAAGTTCCTTTGCTCCTTTGTTCGGTTGTGCATCTTTGGTCCTTGCGGAGGATGCCTCGTGTGTGGTATCAGCATCGCCAGTGTCACTACTGCTGCTGCTGCTGCGGCTGTACTGGTTGTCCGTGAAGGCCTCCAGCTCCGCCATGTGCATGCGAACGCCAAACATGCGGTGGAAGAGGCACGCGGTTGCGTTTGGGTGCTCGTGGATGCCGACAAAGGGGAGATTGGTGACGACGTTTGCCTTGGCCCGCGGCAGCCAGCGCTCAAGCCGCTGCACGTGCACGCCGCACGGCATGCCAACGGCCATGCGTGTCTGGCACCCGGCAACGCCTGGGAAGTTGGCAAAGCTCTCCAATGTCTGCGTTACTTGCGCCATGCGCGCGTGTTCGGCATCCGACATGCCGGGCACCAGCCTGAGGGGAGAAAGGGTGGTGGTATTGATGGACGGGGCGGGGAATTGTGAAAGGACTCCGATGTGAGGAAGTGTAAGAGGTAGTGTGTGAGAATGCGTGTGAGAAAACGTGTGCGTGAGACGGGATATCGGGCACGCGGCACATTGGAGAACGGGCGTTGCGCACCTGTCTTCGTTGTAGGCAGCAAGGAGCCGTTGGCGAGGATGGCGGAACACGGCTACGGTGGCCCTGCGTACATGGGTGTGTGTATGTGTGCGATAGAGTTTGATTATGGGAGGGGGACGCAGGTGCGGTCAAATACAAGCAGATGTATGTGTGGATGCGCACACGTGCATGTACTCACGCGTGCGTGGCGTTGGTGAGGCCGGTAAAGTCTTCAGCGCCGTCCACAGCACCTGCGATTGGAAAAATGATGTACATAAGTGTGAATGGGAATAGCATGGAGTCCCGTGTTGCATGCATGCAAGCAATACGATGTGAGCGAGGTTTGAACAGGTCGACACACGCTCACACAGCACACAAACACATGAGTACACACACACACACACACACACACACGCGCGCGCGCGCACATGAGTACGCACAAACACATGAGTACACACAACACACGCACACACACACACACACACACAACACGCACACACCCACCCACCCACACAACACACGCACACACACACATACGCACAAAAGCACACACCGAGGAACTGGGTTGGGCATTTTGCATCCTCATCGCCGTCGTTGCATTCACTATTGACACAGGATTGGAAGCACGAACTGAATAGAATCGGACGCAGAAAGACAAAGAGCACAGCATTAGAGCGTGGAGGATGAACGGTGTCATATATGGTGTGTTACAGGTCAGGCAAAGAGCGATCATCACGGCAAGTATACATGCATGCTGGCATGCAGGTTGAGTACACTCACGAGCAAGAGTGGACGGGGTGGCGTGTGTTCCCGGACGGCTGCGTGTGCTGAGGTGGTCGGCATGCCTGCTGCCGCAACACAGCCTGCATGAAGTCTCCTGCCCTGTGTCGTGTGGGAAGGAGGTGCGTAGGAGGTGTGGAGGACGGCGGAGGAGGTTGAACAACATGAGAGGGGGACATGGGAAGGTGGCATGCGCGAGGTGAAACAGTGTGCATGTAACAGGGAGTGTGTGAGAGAGAGAGACAGAGACAGGGACAGAGAGAGAGACAGACAGACAGACAGACAGAGACAGACAGAGAGAGTGACAGGAGAGAGAGACAGAGAGAGACAGAGACAGAGACAGAGACAGAGACAGAGACAGAGACAGAGGCACTCACTCACACACACAGATCCACACACACACACACACATACACATCACATCACACGCATCACATCACACGCATCACATCACACGCATCACACACACACACACACAGATCCACACACACACACACACACATCATTGCATGCATGCATGGAAAAGCGCGTACATTGGAACGTGTAGCCATCGCACTGCAGAGACGGAGGTGGGAGCAAGCTCATCAAGGATGCTCGGGCGACCTGCACTGTTGCTGTTGTCAGCAGCTGATGGGGATGATTTAAAGTACGGCCAGCACATGGCTGTGAAGGCTGGGTCGTGAAAGTCGCGCACAGGCGCGTGGCTGCCGCGGTAGGACACGACGGCGAACGACGGCTCCAGTTCCTTGAGCAAGCGCTCGTGATCGCCCTTGGTTGCCGTGAGCGGAGCGCACAGGCAGTCCAGGCAGTCTGCTGGGAACGCGTGCACGGCGACAGCCTCGCGTGCCTCGCTGCTGATAGCACCCGCTTTCGCATTGGTCAATAGCGCCTCGGAGAACTTGATCTGCATGGTCCGTGGCGGCGAGGAGCACTTACCGCCCAGACACTGCAGCTCCGGGCGGCACGCGCACATGCCGTCGTGCACGAAGATGGCATTCTCAGGGCACGGCACCCCCACCACACCGCCAAGCAAGGCAGTGAGGGTGGCGGCGAGCAGCACAGGCATCGAAGAGGAGAGAGTCATCATCATTGTTGTTGGTTGTGTGAGTGTGCAAACGATTTTCGGTGAGATGCATGACTGCTCGAACAGCTTCATGTCAATGCACGTGATGAGGAGGAGATGCCTGCAGGCACGTGAGGCACCTGTGGTGCTTGTGGTTTTGTGTGCGGCGGTGTTGTGCGTCGGAGGTTGTATCGGGGAGGTTGTACTGCTGGAGGACGAAGCAGGCACCTTGCACATCAACACGAGTGACCCGGCAACGCAGCATGTGGTGGTGAACGGCGTGAACGTGGACACGCTGTTTCGTGCGGTGGAGACGCTGATGGCGACGGTCTCGGCGCAGCAGAACACCATTGATGCGCTCTGCCAAGTGAAGGTTCGAGCGAAGACGTTCGGGCAGCTTGAAGCACAGTCCACCAAGTGGACTGGCGGTGCGCTGGCTGACAACGGGTTGATCTATGCCGTGCCCTACAGCTCGCCCTCTGTGCTCATCATCGATCCGAGCACGAACACTGCCGACACTACCACCATCTCCAACCTTGGCAACGATCTCGGCAAGTGGGCCGGTGCCGTCCGAGCTCACAACGGCCTCATCTACATGTTTCCATCCTTAAGGACAACGATGTTGATTGTTGATCCCGACACCAACGTGGCCGACACGACCAGCATCCAGTCGCTCGGCACGACGAGCGGAAAGTGGTTCAGCGGCGTGGTGGCGGACAACGGGCTCGTCTTTGGCGTCCCTCTTTCGGCAACGTCTGTGCTGATCATCGACCCAGAGACCAACTCAGCTGACACCACCACTCTTGGTGGTCTGGAGCCCGGTTCCAACCAGTGGTACGGTGCTGTGCAGGCTGCCAACAACCTCATCTACTGCACTCCCATCGCAGCCACGTCTGTTCTCATCATCAACCCGGACTCCCTTGTCATGGATCTGACCACCATCAGCGGGTTGGGCGCAGGGGGAGTCTACAAGTGGATCGGAGCCGTGCTTGCAGGCAACGGGCTCGTCTATGGCATCCCATATGGGTCCTCATCAGCCCTGATCATTGACCCAAGAACCAATGCAACAGACACGACGACCATCAGCGGGCTCGCTGGATCACGCAAGTGGATCGGTGGCGTGCGTGCACCCAATGGCAAGATCGTTGGCATTCCGCACTATTCCCCCTCCGTCCTCATCTTTGATCCAAACACCAACAGCACGGATACGACGGCCATCAACGACCTCACTGGTGGAAACGCAAAGTGGTATGATGGAGTTCTCGCACCTAACGGCCTCGTGTACTGCATCCCATCAAGCGCTGAGACAGTTCTTGTCATTGATCCAGGGTGCTGACACGAGATGGGGAGGGGGGGAGGGCTGGGGTAGGGGTGGGAAAGGGGTATATTGTGTGTGTGTGTGTGTGTGTGTGTGTGTGTGTGTGTGTGTGTGTGTGTGTGTGTGTGTGTGTGTCTGTCTGTGTGTCTGTCTGTGTGGGTGTCGATGTTTCTGGACTCGCTTGACATGCATTGTGAGTTTGCTCTGCTTCAGCATTGCCATGTACTTGGCATCGGTTACACGCATCGGATAGACGACAGTAACAAGAGGAATAAACGAGTGCGAATGAACATGAAAAGCGCCTCCAAGACGCACACACTTACGTGCAGGCACACGCATACACAAACACAAACATACAACCACAAACATACGCACACACATACACACACATGAACACACACACAAACACAAACACACACACACACAAACATACACACAAACACACACACACACACACAACACACACACAAACACACACATATGCACGCACGTACAAACACACACACACACACACACTTGCACGCACATACAAACACACAGACATGCATACCCTCCCCCCCCCAAGTTTCACTGAGCACTACGCGTTGCTGCTCTTGACGGCGCTGCTGCCACTGGTGCTGGTGCTGCGTTGCCTGTCCTTTAGCTGGCGCCTGTGCTCGCAGGCGGGGCAGATGCCGCTTGCCGCTGCGTGGAAGCAGTGGTGGTGGAAGACGCAACGACACACGGCGCACTTGTGCGTGTCCGGCTGGAACGAAAACAGGGTGTCATCGGAGTGGCACACCCTGCACACGTGGCCTTTGCTCTTGCACAGGACGCACCTGCGCGTGATGTGCTCCTCGCAGTCCTGCACACACTTCTCCACCACCTTCAGCAGCTTGCCTGCATGCAAGGCCACCAGGTCGCGCATGGAGTACATGTGTTCTGCGTCCGCGTCGAGAAAGTGGCGGTGGCCCTGCAGCGGAAGCAGGATCCGGGCCTCCGGCAGGCGGCGGCACGTCAGCAGGAACGACGACATGTGTGCCAGCGTGGCCCTGAACCCCGCCAGCTCCCGCAGGTCCTCCACGTGCCGGAAGAGGGACGGATTCAGGCGCCGGATTTCCAGCAGCGGCAGGTCGTGGGTGGCCGCCAGCACCTCCGATGCCTGCAGGCACACGGGCATGTCGGCAAACTGCCACGACCGCACGACGCGCGCAGGGGTGACGGCGCGCTGGTCATGGTGGCACGTGCTGCAGTAGTGCTGGCCCGTGTAGTCGCACAGCTTGGGCGGCGCCAACAGCGGCTGGTGGCCAATGTGGGTGCCGCACCCGGCGCACTTGTAGTCCTGTGCGCAGAGCCCGTCGTCGGGGCAGATGGCGGTGGTGAGGCGTGCAAGGTCAGCCCGGCCGCCAACGCAGGGGCGGGCCACGTACGTGTGGCAGCGCTTGTGGACGTTCATGCGGCAGCGGCAGCAGCGGAGGCGGCGAGAGGGCTTGAGTGCCGTCTTGAGCGGCCGGGAGCACACGGCACAGTCGCCCGCGCACTTGGGCAGAATGTAGAATTCGTGGCCATTGTGCTCAAAGGGCACGGTACTCTGCGGTTCTTCGTCCACGAGTACGTCAACAGCGTGTGCCAACTGCTCATCAACACCGTGGTCGCGTCGCTTCCCCGACACGGTCCGCTGCCGAGGCGACGACACCGATCGCACCATTGTAGCAGATGACGACGGTGATGCATGGCGGGCTTGATGCTGCTGCTGCTGATGGGGGTGTTGGTGGTGCTGCTGATGATGGTGGTGTTGGTGGTGGTGTTGTGGGTGGTGCTGTGGGTGCTGGCGTTGGTGAGTGGACGTTGTGCTGAGGGGGGAGACATCGCGCGGGCGGTGTTGCTGGTGGTGCTGGTGTGGATGCGATGTGCTTCCGATGGAGTGAGTGGCGCTTGTGAATGAGCCGAGGCTGTGGCGGTCTTCGTATGTCCGTCCCTGCACAACTGCCGTTGCAGCTGTTGCCGCTGTCGCTGGGATGGCGCCGTGTGCATCGTCGTTGGTGTTGTCGTCGTCGGCCATCATCACTTCCTCAAACCTGATGGATTGGCATGTGTGTGTGTGTGTGGGGGGGGGATGTGACGTTAGCTTGTGGGGTTGACAGAGGGCGAATGGGAGGGTGAATGGGAGGGGTATATGGCAGGGTATATGGCAGGGTGAACGGGAGGGTATATGGGGGGGGGGGGGGGTGAATGGGAGGGTTAAGGCGAGCATTTCAAGACCACACACACACACACACACACACACACACACACACACACACACACACACACACACACACACACACACACATGTTCACTGTTGTGACGCACATGCGGTAGAAGCTGCCGGCTGCACTTCGGCCCTCCACGGGCGTGTTGTCCGCTGTTGTTGTTGCGTCGCTCTCAATGTCCAGTGCAAGCGGGACGTCAACGAGACGACTGTCACCGCCACCAGCAGAGATCAGCGCGCCAGGGTCGTGGTCGTGGCGGTGGCGGCTCAGTCCTGCCGCTGGTGTTGGCGTGTCGATGTCGTCGTGTGTGATGATCTCAAACCCGTCAAAGCTCGTGTCTGCTTGGTCTGTGCTCGTGGTCGCAAGAGGTGTTGGAGTGAGCGCCGTGCTGGCACCCCCGGTATTGTTGTTGTCATCTCTGTCAACTCGCACTTGTTGTTGTTGTTGTTGTAGGTCTGCTTGGTTGCTGGTGTTGTCGTCTTGTTTGCGTTGATGTCGCTCCACAACTTCTTCGCTGTGTTCCTCGTTCGCTTCTTTCTTTGCTGCTTCTGCTTCTACTTCACTGTGCTCCTCTTCACCTTGGTTTCGTTGTTGTTGTGCTGTCACGACACTCGTTGCAATGCCATCGCTCGTCAGAGCACTCTCTGTTGCGCTCACGTCACGTTCATCACAAACCGCCACTTCTTGTACAGCGCCTGTACTCTGTCCTGCATTCACTGCAGGGCTGGTGGTGTGATCACTTGCTGCGGCAGTCGCGCCTTTGTGTTGTTGTTGTTGTTGTTGTTGTTGTTGTTGTTGTTGTTGTTGTTGTTGTTGTTGTTGTTGCTGTTGTTGTTGTTGTTGTTGCTGTTGTTGTTGTTGTTGTTGCTGTTGTTGTTGTTGTTGTTGTGTCTCTGGCTGCGCTCGGGCCTGTTCTTCTTCGTCTTCTCTTCCCTGTTCCTTTGCCTCCCCTTTCCCATGGTGTTCCTTTGCTTCTTCTTCTTGCCCACGTTCCGTTTCCTCGTCTTGTCCACGTTCTCCCGCTGAGGTTTCTTCTTCGTCCTCTCCGCCTTCTTGCTCGTGCGCGTGTGTTGGCGAGCCAAGTTCGTTGACACCTTGCAGGTGATGTGTGCTCCCTACATCACCTCGTTCATCACCACCATCACCACCGCCACCATCACCAGCGTCACTGTCTGCCGTGCGCTCATCACCCGTGACTGTGATTCGCTGCTCGCCACCATCACCACCATCTTCACCAGCGTCACGGCCGTCACCGTCACAGCTGTGCACGTTGCGTGCAGCCGTGGTGGCGTGCGAGTGGGCGTCACTCGCCGCGTCCTTTGCTGTGTCGCGTTCATGCTCCGCTCCCTGCCAAGCCAAAGGCAGACACGGAGGGCAGCATCAGCAGCGCCAACAAGCGTTGTTGAGGACACACGTGCGCGGCAGACGTGCAAACAAGCTTCCAAATGCAACACGGACACACACACATACACACACATGGACAAGCGTGTGCACACGGACAGACACAAGTGCACACACACACACGGACAAGCGCGAGCCAACGGACAGACACACACACACACGGACAAGCGCGAGCAAACGGACAGACACAAGTGCACAAGCAAACGGACACGACGGTATTGTTTGGTGGGCATATGTGACATTGCCGTACCTTCTTGGAGTGCGGTGGTTTTGGTTTCTTCTTCTGCTTCTTCTTTGCCTTTGTTTTCTTGCGCTGCTGCTGCTGCTGGTGCTGCTGGTGCTGCTCTGCCCGTTTGACTTTGTGCGCGCACGTCACGTATACGCAGAGACGTGGCGGTATTGAAGGAGAAGTGATGAGGGTGTGGGGTGAGGCGTATTTGTGTTGGGGGGGGGGATGGGAAGGAAAGCAAACACCACATAGTTCATTCAAGTGTGCTGGGTGGAACAGCATCCCTGCAAGTGATTGCCATCAGTGTGAATGGCCACAGCCAATGCCGCCATCAACACCATCAACACAACCATCAACACCATCAACACAACCATCAACACCATCAACACAACCATCAACACCACCACTATCAGCACCACATCAGCACACCAGCAGCACCACGCTTTCCTCTTCATCTGATGCTCATCACACCTGGTGTCGGTGGCGAGTGCATCATGACGAGCTCCTGCTGTGCTGCGCGCGGTGTTGGCGCCACGTCCAATGAACTGTCATCCACACTCCTATTTCATTCCGTGGGCAGAGGAGGGGGGGGGGGTTGGTTGGTTGGGTTGGAATAGTGAAGGGGGGGACAAGTGAATGGGTCAGGGGTGGTGAAGAGAGGTGGAATTCGCCGACAGAAGCAAGGGACACACACACACACACACACACACACACACACACACACACACACACACACACACACACACGCACGCACGCACGCACGCACACACACACACATCTGAAAGGTGGTGAAGCTGAGGCCTGCGAGGAGGGTTTCAAACTTGGTTGCCTGTTCTTCATCCCGCATATACGCATACGTCTCATATACATCCCTATGCACACACACACGCACACACACACATACACACATACACGCACGCACACACACACACACACACATGCACACGCACACACACACACACACACACACACACACACACACACACACACACGTGTAAATGCAGTGAGGCGAGTGATTGGTTGGTGTTGTGGGAGTCAAAGAAGCAAGCGGTGTCGCACCGCGCACGCGAAACACCTACTCCATGAGCGACGTGTCGTGCAGGAGGGCGTGCACGTAGCTCTCCACTGCAAGCGACAATGCGGAGAGACGACGATGCATCACGGTTCACCGATTACACCGATGTGGACCAGCATTATCATAGCAGTAGCGCGTTGAATTATGAATGTGCCGTTCGGGGAGAGAAAGGGACACAAAGGTACAAGTACACACAACCACAGCACATACACACACATACACATACACACATACACACACAGCACACACAGCACATACACAGCACAGCACATACACACGCACACACACGAGAGCGCGCAGCGTACGGGCGTTCTCGTTGAGGGCGAGTCTGATCCACGCACGCACACGGGCGGCGTCGCTGTTTGCGTGAGCAAGGCTGCAGATGTTGCAGTACATCCATCGTGATGTGGGAATGCGCTCACATGAGTCAGGTCACGTGGTGACGGCGCGGGTCATGTCAAGCATGTGGGGAAAGCGTCGAGCACAGGACACGTGCAGACGCAGCAGGTGAAGCAGCTGCTCAACACACACGGCTTCACGTTCACAAAATCTCTCTTGCAGCGAATGTGCACGCACCGCTTGATCTCGTTGACGACGTCCTTGTGTGAGATCACAGCGGCTGCGCGCCAGAAGGTGGGCTCGCCCGCGTGCCACGGTATCTGCGCAAGTGATTGAGTGAACAATGAGCACTCAAGCAGGAAGGTGGTGTCGGGAATTGTTCACGGTGGCATCGCGCGCCATGTTTTCGAGAGGGCTTCCACCTCGATTACGTGTCTGGTGGCTGCCCCCTTTGATAGTGTAACATATGGTTTACCTTGAGGCCGTGGCACAGTACACGCTCGATGGCCGAGCACAGGCGCATCGACTCTGGGGTGGACCGGATCGCAACATCGCCCGCCACGCTCACCTGTGGCGTTCCAGAGGGTGTGCGAGTGAGTTAGTGTGGGTGGGTGAGTGAGTGGGTGGGTGTGCGTGTGGGTGGGTGAGCGAGTGGGTGTGTGTGTGAGTGTGTGTGTGTGTGTGTGTGTGTGTGTGAGTGTGTGTGAGTGAGTGTGGGTGAGTGTGGGTGAGTGAGTGAGTGGGTTTGCGTGTGGGTTCGTGTGCGTGTGTGTTAGTGAACGACACAAGCAGTCATGCAACCAAGCACAGAAGGGGAGAGGAAGGGAAAGGGGAAGGGATGAGCAGGCAGGCGCACACTCTCACGCTCCACACACACACGCACGCACACGCACACACACACACACACACACATCCATCACACAGCACATCACAACATCACACACCGATTGGACGGCCTGTTTGACTTCAACGAAGATGGCCTCCTTCTCGTTTGCGTAGGCGCTGTCGTCGACGCGTTCACCAGAGGACGCCGCCACCTTCTCCTTCACGCGATCCAGCCAC